AATACATTATTTTGCATGAAAGAATGTCATTTATGAGCTATTTTCACCTAAAATTAGTCCAAGATAGTAAAGACTTAATGAATTTGGAACCTATCAATTTGAGTTTTCCTTAATACATCATTTTCCTTGTAGCTTCAAAGTCTTTCTGAAGCAGAGAGGGGAAAGGGGTGCCAATTCCTTTCAAGGGAAAGGGGGAGCATGGAGAACAAAAGGAGGACTTTAAAAACAATTGCCAGAGAAAATTTAATGGAAACCACTGCCTACAGAGTTCTGAATGTTGAGAATATTAACATGTACTTTTCAAATGTGTGTAATACATATTCAAGCTTAGAAAGCAAATTTATGTTGTGACCTTGCCTGAACAAATTATCTTTTAGTGAGAAAACTTTGTATCAGTAGTTTATGCAGGAGAAAACACTTTTAACATAATGAACGATTTTAAGATCTAAGAAAAAAAAATGGCACAATCTTCAATTTTAAAATCTGGTCTTCAAGTTTGTAAATAATTAACTACCATGTTCTAGTACCAAGTTGTTTTATATTTTAGTTTTCTGGAAGACAATTTTACAATGTAAACTCAATAAAGTAACTTCTGTATTAAAAAATAAAGTCAATATTTTAGAAAAGAAAAACACTCCTTTATAATATTGATCAATGTACATTTATTTTTTTTATTGAGGAAACCATAATCAATACAAAATTACAGCAATCATGTGCCCTTTTACATACAATGTCATTAAAGCAAACTCTAAACCACAGTTTGTAAAGTATTCAATTTACCTCAAGTCCAAGCTGCATCTCCCTAAGACACTGTTCCCATCACAGTAGCCATTTTAAGCCAATCTTCTTTTTACACACGGGTAGTTTCTGTAGAGAACACTTTTCTCAGGACGAAAATGCATCGAGCATGCATAAGAAAAAATATATATATATATGCGCAAATACATTTAAGAGTTTCTATAGGGCTATCATTGAAGAAAATAAAACCTTCGGATTTGCTTCTTAAAAGCACCAATTTAAAAAAATCCCTCAAATTTATACTGTGGCAAGAAAACTCAAGTGACTAAACAAAAAATGTTATTTTCAGAGTCAAAATTATCTTTAGTATTGTTAAAATACATTTTAAAATGAGGCAGAATTTTCAGAAAATAAAAAGACATCCTCATTGATCATTTCTACATCCTTATTCTAGACAACAGATGTTTGCAGATAGAGCTGGTTCTCCTGGCAGAGTATTCAAACAAATGTTATCACTTCTGCATATATTCCTATTTCCCTCTTAAGGTACTCTGCTACTCCTACCCAAACCCACCCTTATGAATTAACTACCAAGGTATTTGTCTAAGGAAATATTTTATGTTTATAAACAACTAGTATCAAATCACTAGTTTTAGTATTAAAACCATTTTCATTAGTTAAAAATAAAAGTATACTTTTCATTTCTAAAAGAAACATCAAACCATAAGAATTCTACATAACACCACACTAAAATATCTTTAAAAAATGAAACACATTGTCAAGTTTTTAAGTGCTAAATAAAATAAATCAGTTCAATTTCAATCTAAACATTGTTTCTACCACTCCTAACATCCATTGCATTCAAGTCAACTGGCTCACCTTTTCCGCTTTCCATTTATTTCAAGGTTAAGATTAGCGCCATTTAAAAAAATGCAGTATCAGTGAAGGCTTATGGTAATGAATAAAAAAAAACTCTTGATATAGAAACAATGCCCCAATTATCTATTAGCATTCATCTATATTTTATAAAAATGCAAACTACAACTAACCAAAACTTGACAGGCTCTTAAGGTTCAAAGAGCTCCTTTGTATTATCAGTCTTAACATACCTATCATTGACTATTAAAATAATACATACACACACATAAATGTGGTGCAGTAACTATATAACTTACAAAATTTAACAGTTCATGGAACATTTAAGATCAAGCGAATAGCACTTTAAAATGAAAAGTGATCAAAAGCAGGTACATTACACCCTATACCATATTATGTATGGGAATACATTTCATATTTCTCAATTATGATTTGCCAATTTTACCTTCTACATTGAGCCCTTCTATGGTCCATGCTCATCGGCTCACCAATGGCATACACTCAAAGGATTCCTCTTTATGGGTAACTATCTCAGGACCTGATTTTATGAGCTATGATTTGGTGCTTGCAGCATCTTCAGCACTGTGTGTGAAAATGAAGGCAGTATTTTTGAATATTTTTCTTTGTTGTAGAGATAAGCAGGAGTTTTTAAAAGGATCAGCACATTTTAGAAATTGAATAAACAAAACTGATATGATGCTGCTTTAATACATTCATCTTAACTCAAAATATGTACCAGTTAAAATCATCTATAAGAACACAAACATTTTAAACTGGCAAAAAAAATAAATGCAGCGTCAGTTATTTAAGTATTATAAATCAGAAAAATACTGGTTGCTATACAGATTATGAAAGGTTATTTGCTATACAGTTAACATTTCACTGATGCACATGCCTTATCAAAAACATACTGCCAAGTATTCCTTATAATTTTTTCCTTTTTCAGTGTATATAAAGATTATGAAAACTGAATTGTCTAAAAAAAAAAAGTCATAATAAAACTCTGACCCATAATGTCCTTACTGAATTATTATACTTCAAGAATGAGAAAAAAATAAAGACTCCATAGCTTTGGAGGGCAAAGAAAATGTCCTGTCAATCATAAAGAGATTGTGAAGGCTGTTGAAGTTTCTAACCAAGTGATTTCCTAAATCTAGAAAACTGTAATTGCCCTTTCTTAATTTTAACAATCCCTCTATAGTTGGGAAAAGATTACAAAAAGTTTGGATGTAGTTCAATTATAGCAGCAATCTACTCATCATTTTTTTGTTTTCATAAAAAAACAAAAAAACAAAAAAACAAAAAAACAAAAACCATTACCCAGAAATGTAAACAGTTGTTTGAACAACTTACAGACTTTCCACTGAAATGGTAGCATAAATAACAAAATACATTTTGGGGAAGCAGTAGCAGATTGCTTTTGAATTACACAACCACAAAAACCTCACAGGGACAACATTAATGTACTGAAATATTTATTTATATATGTCCTTAGGTTGTGCTTACCTGTTGCTTTTTGCAGCAGAACCTAAGGTGGAAGGTCTGGGAAGGCACTGTGAAGTATAAATAATTGCACTGTTTGCAATTAATAAAGATTTTAAACCTTAAATGAATCAAAATCAACAGCCTCCAATTTGTGAGTTATGATACTGAATCCAACTGAACTATTTCTTCAGTTTAATTAATAAATGCACCACTTTCCTAAAAGGTCATCTATAAAACAGTATCATGCAAAATACTGAAATTGTTCATGTCAATAACCCTACTCTTAAAGATAACACATAACTAACTCCTTATTAAACTTGAAAACTAGAACTATATATCCATATCTAAGTAAGGGCAAGGGAAGTCACTCCAGGTTCTATAAAACAATCAGAAACATTTCAAAATATCTATAATGAACTGAACTGCTATTTTCTACCCTGTAAGTAATCTCAACATTTATGTCCTTGTACATCTCCCTTTATATTCAGAACAACTGGTGCTCCCCACCAATGAAAGAACTAATATATATTTATGAAATGGTGTTAAACTGCTACATTGCTTAATATTTGCAAACTGAAAACCACTTCTGTCTGATACATTTCAAGTCTTTCATATTAATATAGAAGATATGCATACTGTACACTGAAAAACAATATATTTTAGGAGCACCAATGAGTAATACTATTCAATTTTAATGATCAGTTTTCTTTAGCTATAGCTAAAGCATATCAAAAATACTTACCCATTAAGCTCACTTAAAAAAAAAATACAGACCTATGTATTATTCTATGTTAAATTAAGAAGCAGTTATGGTTTTCCAAGATATCAGCACTGTATTCCAACATAATATTCACACAAAGTATGGCATTTACATTATGTGGAACATTGACAAAAAGATACTGTTGCAGTTCATCAATTTGTCATTCTGATGTACTTACAGTGCAATGCTCCTTGAAGGAACACAATCAAGGATGATACACAGCACAGTCCTCCTCACCCCTACAGAGCTAGTTCTATACTGGCTGGATCAAACCTGCACTTCAACAGACAATGGCAAGACAGACTGTATTTGCATGTAGTCTAATATATTAATATGCAAAGAGCCAACAAATATGCAAAGAGTAAACAATGGATTTCAACAAAATATCAGAACTTCAGCATGAGTGTTATAGAGTAATAAAGTGATTTCAAGTACATAAAAAATTTAAGTTGATTCAATGATTGGACTTGTGCATTTACAGAACAAAGCTTATCTATACTGCAAAAAGAAAAAAAAAAAAGAAAGAAAAAAGCTTGAACATTTCCATACCCCAATAATGTTTCAATGGTAGATGCACTGTAGCTATACTTTTTGCATACTATTCACTTTTCTACCCTAAATTTAAAAAGAAACACACTAATATTGTATACATTGAAAGTTTCTTTACATGAAAAACTTCTTAATCAACTACTCATATTCACTATCCGAAAACTGTTTAAAATTAGTTATGCTGAAACAGTCTTGGAAATCAAGTAATTATTAAATTAAGAACAGAAAGGTTAACTGTTATAGCAGCAGTACAGATCTGAAACAGTGGTCATGTATAAAAGGAAATTTCACTGTTAATGCAATGGAAGTATGCCAAAAGATCATTGTACACACATGCAGGTTTTAATCAAACAGAAGGAAAAAAAAATGAAGATATCAGGATTACTTGTGCTGAAACAGCCAAATACAATAAATGGAAAAGATCCTCCAATCTACTACTATACTGCAAGGGGGAAAAAACATGCCAGTGTTTAAAAACTCAATTAATATTTCATGGGGAAAGCTTATATATTTGTGTATATGTATCTTAATTTATCATTGCTAAGAAATTATGAATCCTTTAAATACCCACATATCCAACTTACCGACACAGGAGGTTTCATATCATTTATTGTAAAGCACAAAACAGGCATTTTAAAAGTGAAAGTATACATTGAAAAAGTACATTTATATCACAAAGCATTGACCACATAATAGTTGCAAATACATTTGCTGGAATGTGTACATCTACACTAAATACTAAAAACAAACCAATTTTCATTTCTACACAGAAATATTAACCTCCTATCAGTAGTGATAGATATTTTGTACATTTTCAAAAAAAAAAAAAAACACTATTTTAAACCAAAAACAAATTAAGATCTTCATCAAGTCGTCTGCATCCATATATTTAACAAAGGTTTTTTTCCCCCACACAATGAAGCAAATACTGTATTGTCCACTTCTTATTATTGGCCCTGTGCAGAAGAGATACATAAGAAATACACAAAAAGTTAAAGAAAATCCTTTAAATGGAGCTAATTCAGGAGTGAATCCTTTAAGAAAGAAAAACTGGTTAATATAAATGGTGGTGGCTTCTTGCATGATTTGCAAATCCCTGGGGGAAAAAAATTTATTTTTAAAATCAAAGGCATTGTAGAAATATTCAGCACTCAGATGCCAGAAAGCATTTATAAAAAAACAAACAAAAAAACCCAAACAATACACCAAGGTACTTCATTTAGTTATGCTATGCCAGATAAAAATTAAAAAGGCAAACATAATCCCAGACAAAACAGTAAACATGCAGAAAACATGATTGGAATAGAAATCAACACTTTAGCAAGTTTAGTATACCTGAGGTGCTGGAGGATGCTGTGGCATTCCCTGGGGACTTGTCTGGGCATAGTACGCTGCTTGTTGTCTATAGTACTCAGCCCAGGCTGCACTATAATCTGGCTGACCACCTGGTGGAGCACCAGTAGGAGCAGGAACTGCTTGACCTTTGAGAAAACAGAACAACTTTGTTGCTGTAACCACAATTAAAAGCCCAAAAGAATCTCATTTCTAATAAAAACAATACCTTGCTTCTTGTAATATTCCTCCCAAGCTTTTGAATAATCTTGTGTCTGCCCTTGTTGACCTAAAAAAAACCCCCTAAATTTTAATACAAAATTATATCCACTGTAAGTACAGGTTATAAAGACAAGCACAGAGGGTCAGAATTGCTCCTGTTTTATTTTATATATTCATTAGTGTCCTATTTTAGATATTCATTAGAAAACTACTCTTGTAATTAAAAAAAATCAGAATGCTGTTTCTTTTTGCCTTATTAATATTAATAACTTTTAGTTCTAGAGTATCACTATTAAGAAAAAGCAAAATCGAAACCGTGACATAGTTTTAACTAGGAAAGGAGAAGATTTAGATATCTTGATTCAATACAAAATTTATAAGTATGTTCTAAAATGAGTTTGGAAAGTACTTCAAGTAAGCAATCTATGGTACCCTGGTACTGACGTTGGGCACAGGGATGGGGGAGACCATGATTTTTTGTCTTATTCATTTGGATGTTACACTACAGATTTTAAATAAAATGAAAAATCCTTGATGGAGAAAAAGAACATTTTTGACAAACAAAAAACACCTGAAAGCTTTTAAAGGCTTTATTAAGATCTGGTCAAGATTTTTGTTTCCTTATTATAACCTATAAATTGTGTGTACAAAGACTAATCTTCAAGATACTCTTTAATAAGATGTTAAAAGTTTCAATACAATGTATTCAAATCACCAACAAAATTACATTAAAAGTAACCTGAACAAAGGACATAAAGAACAATTACTGGAGAGGTTCAAAGCGACAAGATCAATGAAACACAAAACTCAACAGCTTTCATGAGCAGCTATTTTTCTAGGCAGTGTTAACTCCTGAATGACTAAAGAGACCTAACAACCTAAATACGATGCACAAAACTGGCTCTGGATTAAAATTATCTTAACAAAACTCACACACACAGCTACAAAAACACTTTTCTGACAACCAAGGAAATTTAAATATGGTCTGTATGTTGATAATATTACTGAAATAATTTAAAAGTATGCAACTTACTCTGTAAAGGTTCAAGGCACAATACGTACACATGCACAGACACAAAGTACATATGGTAAGCTTTTAAAAAGTGTTGAATTTGAGGGGCGCCTGGGTGGCTCAGTTGGTTAAGCAACTGCCTTTGGCTCAGGTCATGATCCTGGAGTCCCGGGATCGAGTCCCACATCGGGCTCCCTGCTCAGCAGGGAGTCTGCTTCTCCCTCTGACCCTCTTCCCTCTCGTGCTCTCTCTCATTCTCTCTCTCTCTCAAATAAATAAAATCTTTAAAAAAAAAAGTGTTTAATTTGAGTAGAAAATATAAATATGGGTGCCTGCTGTACTATTTTCCAATTTACTGAAGGTATGTAATTTTTGGGGAAAAAAGTGTTTTTCGTATTTTCGTATTTTCTTATTTAGCTCCTTTGAGAATTTTATTTAGCTTATAATTACTTGACCTGATGGAAGTATGGCTAGACAAAAAATACTGAAGCATAGACACAGAAAAAGCTGTTTTTATGTTTATTGGATGTTGTCAACAAGGTAACTTTATGTAGTTGCAGAAATTAGTGTCTATCAGTATCACAAAACTGGCTGAAGAACAGAAGCAATTCAGTGAATAAAATTTTTAACATTTATGAGTAACTTTAAAAATCCAGGAAAACCTCCCCTTCTATAAAATATAGGCAACAGCAGAGAAATTCCATGTAATATAAACAAAATTCTCTTATTTTTGCGTTCCCTAATCATCTTCAAAGAGTAAGTGAGTTTAACATTTTGATCCTATGAGACACAATTAAGGCCAATCTGAAACAGGTTTCAATATTTAAGACAACTGCCAAATACCCCAGGGTATCAACAGTAATAAAACTACACAATGTGTCTTACAAACTGTACACTTGAAAACCTGCTGACTTAAGGCCAAACTTGGGTTAAGACAGCAGCAATTTCTACTTTGGGTTTATAAAAAGGAACTGATCATTGTTAGATGCTCATTTTAGAGGCAAAATAACTAAGATGGTAGAAACAGGGAGACACATTAAGAAAACTCATCAAACTCAAATGTTCCCTACCCTCCCCCCAACTCAAATATTTCTGTGGGAAGTGAAAGGTAAACATACTAGACTTTAAGAAAAACAAACACTTGGTAAGTCGTAAACACCTCACACTCCTTTCTTGAAAGTGTCCAAGGAAAAACTTAACTCATTCCCCCAATCTGGGGGACAAATGTGATTCATTTTGCCCTGCTGAAAGTAAAGAAAGAACTCTTCCTATCTACTTGGGACTTGGCTATCCCCTAGCCTCTTGTGCCCCTCTGCCCCTTTTAGGAATGTCCTTAGCTGGCTCCCTTTATCCTTAGTTCAAAAACTGTTGAAGGCCAGATAGCTTAGTTTATACTTTAAAACATTACTTAATATTTACATACAGGATTACAATATATAAGGTTTTACTTTCATTTCATTCAAGAGATGAGACTTGTCCAAGTTCACAGGTAACATTCCTGAGCCAAACCTGATTGAATAGATTTCACTCTAAATTCTCTCTCTAAACACCTGCATCTTTCCCACAACCACGTTCCCCACCACACGACCTCCACCACCCATCCCCTGGCCTTTACACCAAAGGTGCAGTGTCCACCGTATCAGCGCTTAACATTATATAAGGGCCTTCCTCAACTCCCAACTTTTCCAAAAATGCCTTCACTAGCCCTCTTCCAAAGGGCAACTGTCAGTCTCTACTTTGAAATTCTGCTTCATCTCTCTTTAGGGTGTTTACTTATTACAAAAGTTCCCTTCATTCTAGCTTCAAAAATACCTACTCTTCCATGTTGGCTGCCATTCCTTATTAAGACTTAAAATTTCCTTCATTAACCCTCTAATAAATTCATCTTTATGAATTTCTTTCCTAAATTCTGTTGTTGTTAATCCTAGGAAATTTAGAATTGTTTCAGAAAACGAAACAAATTTAAAAACTTAACTGTTTTAAGAGGTTTATTTACTTATAAGTGAACAATGACAAATTTATAGTGTTAGTGGGTATTTTCTGTTAACAGAAAAAGCTGAAATTTGCCTTCAAAAGCTAGGACAGCCTGCCTAGTTTGGTAAAGAGGGCACTGGATTGGGAATTAAGATGTCCAGAGTCCTAGAAAATCACAGCTCTGCCACTGGACTTGGCCTCTCCCAATAGGGGACTTAGATTTGGAGATAAAAGATTTTTATCTCCCTAATATTTTATTACTTTCTTCCCTTTCATTTAAAAATCTTGAGGGCATCTGGATGGCTCAGTCGGTTAAGCATCCGACTCTTGATTTCGGCTCAGGTCATCTCAGGGTTGTGGGATCAAGCCCCACATCTGGCTCCACGCTCAGCACAGAGTCTGCTTCTTTCCCTCTGCCCTTCCCCCTGCTCAAGCACCTCTAAAATAAATAATCTTAAAAAAATAAAAAAATTTTGAAAACTGTCTCAGTAAAGCATGTGACTTGATCTCGGGTTGTGAGTTCAAGCTCCACGTTGGTATACGGACTACTTTAAATACATACGCATGTACATACATACATAAAAATCTTGAAAACTGAACTATATTAGTTTTATGCTTTAAGGTCGCTTATGCGCAGTTGTCATAAAAGGATCTTAAGGACCAGTAATGCACCTAAGAGAAATTAAGGTAGTTAAGCAACCAATCATTTAACAAAAGAACTTTTAAAGGAAAAAATAAATTGACTTTGTAGCTAACATTAAAGACCTGGCAACTTAACATTATTTCCTTTAAGATTTACATGTGAGAGAATCATTAAACTAATCCTTTGCTCAATAAATTAACAGCTGATCAATGTCATGCTATAGAAAAACACATAACTGGAAAAAAAAAAAAAGGTGGGGGTTAAGGAGGCTCTTAGGCCAAACATAGTGTTATTTAACTATTTCTGTAACATTTTTCTCCACAAAGGAGTCAACAGAGTCCAGCGTAGTATCTATAAAATTAAAATTTTACAGTCAGCAGAGTAAAGGTAGAAAATGAAAAATTAAAAGAATGGCAAGGTGAAAAGTCTATCCTTAAAAATCTGAATGGTAATAAGACCTCAAAGATTACATTCAACATGCATCCCTCACTTCGGGCAAGTAAAATATTAAGAATGCTAAACAGTAATTAATGGCCATGCTGCAAATGAATGATAAAATATACTAAAATACAAGTTGCACTAATTCCCCAATAATTTTCTAGGTCCACAAACAGGCCTATTTTTACTTATTTTAATATTAACTTAGGGAACATCTCTGGTTTATTAACCACTGTGAAAATGTAAGTTGGACCCAATGATTTTTAACTGCAACAATTTAATTGCAAATGCTCAAATCTTTAAAATGGTGACACTATTTCATACAAGTTATTAGAGTGACCATAAGTCCTGACAGAATACCATCCTCAGTTATTCTCAAAACTATCCAACTCTGGACAATAAATTACGTGATCACCCTAAATAGAATATACTGTTTTGAGGAAAAACAATTTTTCTTTAAACAGAAATCACGCTGTGTAAAACATCCTTATCACCAGGCAAATGTATCCTACACAAAAAAGATTAATATAACTACCCTTCTGGAAATTTTTCTTTCTGTGTAAGATGACAAAACATCCATGGGCAGACACTGAAATTTAGGTTGAGAATCTCAAACAGACTATATCTTATGAGAAAAATTCTACCATCTATACCATCTATAGATTCGTTCTATTCCAGTGAAGGGTGGATAAGTTTATCTGTTTAGCTTTCATTTGTGGTAAGTGGCTGTGGTATACATGTGTTAATTTTAAATGACTAACACCACAAGCTTCTAAAAGCAAAAACTATCTGTTCAGAAATACAGTTGACCCTTGAACAACTCGGGGTTATAGGCACTGACCCCTGTACAGTTGAAAACCCACATGTAACTTTGACTTCCCAAAAACTACTAATAGCCTTCTGCTGAGCAGAGGTCTTACAGATAACATAAACAGTTGATTAGCACCTATTTTGTATGTTTACATATTATATACTGTATTCTACAATAAAGTAAGCTAGAAAAAAAATACTAAGAAAACTATAAAGAAAATTCATTTACAGTACTGTAAAAAAAAAATCTACTTGTAAGTAGTCCCGCTAAGTTCAAACTTATGTTGTTATTCAGGGGTTAAGAGTATAATATCAGGTTCCAAGTGGTCCCAGGAAAAGGCCAATTTGGGAGATAGACTTGGGATTTATGCCCTCTAGGGAGTTCAAATTCTGCTACCACTTAGTAGCTGTACATGTGACGTGTTAGTGGAAATACAGTTCTTTTCATTAGTAACAGTTTGTAGTAATATACCTGGCAAAGTACTTGATTAACAATTGTATCCTCCATGAGAATAAAACCAGAAGGGCAGGGGCTCCTGCTATTATGCCCATAATCACATTCTCAGCTCTTTCACTATGTTTGGCATGTGGTATGTGCTCTACAGTTACTGAATGGAAATGGCCTTTCTAGGTGACTTTTTCTTTTTCATATACACAAATGTTATTCAAGTAATTAATGTACTATGTCACTGTCAGTTTTATTTTGCAGCAGAAAATAGCACACACAACAAATTTTTGCTTGGCACTCTAATTTAACCGACGCCAGTTAGGCTACTATTATATGTAACTATCTTTGACAAAAGTGCAAGTAATACCCAATGTTATATGTGCCAATGGGGCAATTTTTAGTTTCAATTATTAAGTGGTTGACACATACATTTAGAAATAAAATTTCCTTGTTATGTGACCACAAATTAAGAATTAACTGTAACCCTGATACACCCAAAAGTTCAGTGATTTTAGAATGCGTTCAATTATTCTCCAAAATTTAAAAGTTAAAAATAAAAAGTCCCAGTAACAAAAACATGATACAAACATGGTTTTCTCGGTCTTCATCCTTTCTAGTGTGATATTTACTAAATGCTTCAATTGCAGTTTAATTAAATGTATAAAAAAGAAATGTAGAACATACCCATTTTCTTGTAATACTCTTCCCAAGCCTTGGTATAATCAACCTGTCCAGCTGGAGCTGGATTCTGCTGATCTCCTTAAGAAAAACAAAAAACAACAAATAGTAAGATTAAGGGTTTCAGAAGACATTCTTGGCTCTTTCCTTCTGTTCCTTGAGTGGAGAAACTGGGAGCGGCCTGTCATAGGGAGTGAGGGTGCTGTGTGGTAGTGGGATTCCTGCTCGTGCCAAAGACATAGGGGGTATAGAGGCAGTCAAGAGAAAATTTGTCTATACACAATGGAAGGAAGAGTAGTCACATTGAGCATTTAAGTAAATTCATTGGTTAAATAAGGAAACACACTGAAGATAGGTCTTTCACCATTTATATATAAGCATGGAAAGGGAAAAAGCTAGAAAGAATCCTGAAGTATTATAATGGAATTGCAGGAGATACAATAGTCTTATATACATATATAGATTATTTATGTTGTTTCATATATGTGTATGTAGATATACATACAGGTAAATTTCTTAGCTCTGTATGCTGAAAGGATTTAGAAGCAATGACAGCTTAGTAGCAATGAACACACTGAGTTTGGTTTCTTAGATGATGGTATTTACTAAAAGGAATCAGGGCTCCTTGGAAAAATGGCTGATTCTAGAGCCCAGAAAGCACAAAATAAGCATCTTATTGTGCAAGAAAGTAAGGATGTGCTTAAAGAATAACAGACATGTCAAAAGGATACAGGAGCCATCTTGAAGGTACTCCTGATTAGCCAAAGCTAGGGCAATCTGATAATCATATAGTAAAGATAGTTTAAAACCATAGCATGTTGAATAAAACAGGAGTCCATACTGATAGAAATAGGAAAAAAACTTCTTCCTTATAGTACAATACCAACTAATAACATATAAAATGATGTAAATAAAAATTATCATCATAGCTGTAGCTGAATCAGGAATGTGTTATCAGAGAAGTTGATATGAGGAAAAAAGATAATCTCAGCATAATTCTCCAAAAATATTTATTAATTTCAAAGAGAAAAACGCTATTTTATAGTCTAGAAACCTGGCAAGACACCAACATGACCGATGGACTATGGTTACCATCTCCAGGGATGAAGCAGGTCAACATTATATGACCCCACGATATAATGCACCAAGAGCACAGCATTATTTAGGAGGTACTGCCAACTAACAAGTAGGACCTCATGATCATGACCTCATCTTTGTGAGAAAAAGTTGAAGGAACCTATGTTGATTTGATCATCATCTCGCAAAACAAAAGGTCTATACTTTTTTGCCAGATGGGACCCTGGATCAGAATAGAGAAACTGATGGGACAACTGGTGAAATCTGAGTAAGGGTTTTACATTGGGACAGTAATGATGTATCAAGGTTAACTGTTTTAGCAGGCTGTATGATGGTAATGTATTTTTGGAGTAATACAGAAAGAGTACTTAAGGTTACTGGGACTTCCTGTGTACGGCCTGGTCTTACATGGTTCTCAAAAACTACTGGTAATGGATATGGGCATGTATGACAGGGTAATGGGACAAATCAGAGGTGAGAGGTAAAATATTAACAGCTAGGTTACCTGGGTGTTCTGTAAATCTATCTTACAACTAAAACTTTTATGAAAGTTTGCAATTATTTCAAACTTATTTTTAAAAAGGAAAGTCTGCTCACTGAAGCTATAATTAAATATTGGAAATTTCCAAACACAAGTTTCTACTTCTACATACAAAATAAATTCTTTAATTACCATAGTTACCTTGTCCATTGGTTTGGGTTGTAGTTGGTGCACCAGCAGGAGCTGCAGGTGGTGGCTGTGCTTGCTGTTGATAATAGTGAGCATAATAGGCAGCCCAAGCTGCTGAATTTGGATCCGTTCCTGCCTTAGCTAGAATAAACACAAGTTCAAGGTTTGCATCTGAAGTCCGTAATCTCTCTCTCTCACCCACACACTCTAGTAAATAAACAGACCCCCAAATTAACTGGTATCAAAAATAAATAATAAATGGGACGTTTTCAATTCTATTACTTTAACTGTCATCATTAGCATTAATCACAGAAAAGTGAGGTACAGAGATTAAGTGACGTTCTTAGAGAACTAGTTGAGTGGCAGAATTAGGATAGGAATAAAGATCTTTTGTCTCCAAATCCAATGCTTTGCTTCAAACCATCCCATGGCCTTGGTTTCTTCCTAAACTGGTTTTGCCTCAAGCACAGCTGTTCTACATGACAGATGACTACAGGAAAAGGATTTCTAGGAACTAACCTGTACAAGAAACAATTATTTTACAACTATGAATTCTGTCCTGTCTTGCTTTCAATGTAGAGACAACATAATCTTGAAAAATAAACAAGATTTAGCCATATTTCATCTCCTCATATTTCACAGTAATTATCCTAAAACATACACTTGATGTTACTGCCCTACTTGAAATTCTTCATTTATTCCATAGAGTCTTCAGGGCTGTTGAAGCTTTTCTTAAGTGCAACATTATCACTCAACATCTTTAATGATCTGACCCCCTGGCTTATCCTTTCCATTCTAGCCATATCTTCCCCCATTTGTCAATATTTTTCCAACACTCAAGTTCTGGTCACAGTAAACTGCTTGTACTTTTCAGAAGTTGCCACGTTCATTATCTGGCCTTAGACCATGTTATGCTTTCTCTGCACTTGCACCCTCATTTCATCCTTCATAAAAAACTCATGCAGTAACAGTTTGAGATCTCTCAGTCAGAAAGAGAAATCCTCTTCTTGATTCTGTCCTTTATATCAAGAATATCATTTGACACTATAGATAATGTCTTTTTAAGTTTATATTATCAAGAAAAATGTAATTTCCTTTGCCAGAGTCTGTATCTATGTGAAATCTGTTTAGCCTTTATCCCAAATGGGCAGCAAGTCTCAGGTGTTTAGTAAGTTTGAGAGAAAAGGAGCAAGGATTTCTAGAATGATACAATGTCTAAGGTAATACAATTTTAAGGCATGATCCATCCTCCACAACATCCTCAAGTAATAAATGTAGTGCTTTTCTAAGTTGAATGTTTGTCTTGTGTCATTACCTGTATATTAATACAAATATTTCACTTGACACCATCTCTGTCTAGAGAAACTGAGATAAAACAGACTTTAGGGGCGCCTGGGTGGCTCAGTTGGTTAAGCGACTGCCTTCAGCTGAGGTCATGATCCTGGAGTCCCGGGATTGAGTCCCACATCGGGCTCCCTGCTCAGCAGGGAGTCTGCTTCTCCCTCTGACCCTCTTCCCTCTCGTGCTATCTCTCATTCTCTCTCTCTCAAATAAATAAAATCTTTAAAAAAAAAAAAAAACAGACTTTAGAAAATGATACTTGTACTCCTGAATGTGTAGAGGGTATAAGAGAACCAGTCTCACAGTTCCATATAATACATACAAAGAATTTAATAATTATTCAACATGATTATCTTTCACTTATCATACTATAGGTAAGAAAAAAGATACAGAGGGATTAAAAAACTTGTTTACTACCCCAATTACTAAAGTTGTAGCACTAGGGCTTATCTAGGTCTCTTTCACTCTGAATCTAATTTCTTGACTACTACATAAATCCTCAACAGCCCATTTATTTTTCAAAGAAAAATATTTTAATTCAGAGAATATGGACTTTGTCATTATGGGGCCACATTTAAACACCAGAATGTTAATCAAATTCACTAAAACAGTTTCATCTAAAAAAGTAATTTTGGGGGGGGGGCGCCTGGGTGGTTCAGTTGTTAATCATCTGCCTTCGGCTCAGGTCATGGTCCCAGGGTCCTGGGATCGAGTCCCACATCGGGCTTCCTGCTCGGCGGGAAGCCTGCTTCTCCCTCTCCCACTCTCCCTGCTTGTGTTCCTGCTCTATTTCTGTCAAATAAATGAATAAAATCTTATAAATAAATTAATTAATAATAATTTTGGTTTTTACATATTGCTAAGTCTAATATAAGCAATATCTAACACCAGCTGCTATCTTTTAGCTAAATGGGTTACTTCTTTTTCCAAAGGCAATGCTGCAAGCCATATTCATCAACCAATTCTTACAGTGGTGACTTCACTACTCCCACTGGGAAAACTTGACTGTGATAGAGACTACTTCTGATTCCCAACATTTTTCTCAATCATGTTACTGACCCAAACAGTGCTCATAAGGTGCAATCCTGCAGATCCAAGTTTCCCAATATAAATTCACCCCTTAACTTGCTCAAACTCTTGAATCTCTTAAATTATGTGATTTTTCTGCCTAATCACACCATCCCACTTAGTTTACAAGAGGGAAGGAAAAGTCTTTTCATTCTTAAGAGATGTTTAAACTATTATACATTAAATTATATTTGACTCTCAGTCATCACAGCACTGCTAACACTTAGAGTGCACTTTTCTGCTATACAATGTAAACTAATCTTTGCATACCCACATCCTTGCACACTCAAGTTGTTTCTTGAGTGAGTATAAGTTGTGGTTATTTGCTTACTGTCATGCTGTGCCATCATATTCCAAAGAGCACACATCCTATGAAATTAAAATATGTTACAATATAGGGCCACATTTAAATAACAGAATGTTTAATTAAATTCACTAAAACAATTTCATTTAAATTAATTATTTAGGTTCTTTTAAGAAATAAATACACTAGTGTGGAAAGGAATCCATAATTCAGTACCTTCCTTGAAACTACTCCAGTGAAAGAGGCCTAAAAGATAGGTAGTAGATGAGAAAGAAGGATCATAAATAAATGTTAATTGGTTTCGATGAACGCTCCTTTGACCATCATGGAAAGAAAACTAGAGGATGGCAGATGCAGTAACAGAATAGAATGTACATATAAAATCCAGTTCTGAACAGCGAATACATTTAACTAAATGTATTTTTTGAGTTCTAACATGCAGACATTAAACACAGCCCTGATTTTTACGAATACGTGAAATTACCATATCAGGAATATGAAAACATCTTATATATCTTATTTGAGAACTTCAAAGTTTAATACTCAAGTATTAAATGCTCCATTAGACACTCACATAGTTCTATAAATAAACGTACACTACTCTTTCATGGATAACGTCACAATTGACACATTATACATTTGATGGCACTGGTGTTTAAAACTAAGACGTTGTACTTCTTCCTGTAGTTTTGGCTTTTAGCACTCTGCCCTTACACTTTTAAAGGACAGAAAGCCAAATGCAAGTAAAAAAAGTTCATTGAAAACAGACCATATTCACACCAATCTTATATAACGTGGTAAAACCAGAAACTAAGACTCCTGCTGAAGAGTGTTAAGTGCAGAAATACGCACACAACGTAGAGTTGACACTAGAAAATTTAAGAAGATAACAGGAATGACAAACAATACAGATTACACATGAATGATAAATATCTTTTACCTGGATCAGGAGGGGCCTGTTGCTGCCAGTGTGGATATGCATTTCCCCACCCCTGGGGAGCATAAGGAGCTGGAGGACCACTGAAAAGATAGAAATCAATATAAAAATACAATTTACCAAAAGCTAGAATCTTTGGGGGGAAAACCCCAGAACCAAACTCAATACTTACTGAGGAGCAGGGCCGGGTGGTCCTGGATTATAAGGTGCAGGGTTGTATGGTCCCATTGGAGTTCCAGGCCCTGGAGGCCCAGGAGGCCCATGGGGACCTGGGACACCATGGGGCCCATGGGGTACAGGCGGCCCTAAAGGATTTACTGGGCCCTATAAAAAAGCAGAAAGATGCAGAAAATCAGAAAAATGGTAATGGCTGAACAATTCAAAGGCCAAATTAACCTTCCATTCCTACCCTTTCATATAGCCACAAGCAACATATTTTAGATTTTCCTTCATTTTCTCATTCATGTTGCTTAAACTCTTTACCATACTGAGACATGTAAATTCATTAAAATCAACAGCATCAGCAAAGAATTGAAACATCTCCTTTACCTTCCATTCTATTCCTTTGACTATTCCCTTTTCTGTTATTTCCCTTTCCTTTTTTAATTCTTTTACTACTCCTTTATCATTTTAATCATGGATGCCTATCAAATATGTTGTCTCTAGCTTTTCTTTTTCTGCATCCATTCTACATTTATTTTCCTAACAATCAGACAACCACCTTGACGATATATTCCCCAAACTGCTTAGGGCTTATATTGTGAATTGTCTACTGGGTACTTTACTAATAAAGTAACAATTCTCACTCAAAAAACTATCCTCTTCACAACCTTTGTGTCACTGAACTCCATTTACGTGAACAATTTAAATTCATTTCCTCTTGCTCTTTATCATTTTCCAAATACCGTATCTTCATATTCATATCACACCACATAATTAATAAAGCTCAGTTGATTTTCCTCTTCATAATCCAACTTGTAAAGACCACTAGACTAGATTTAACCGTCCTAAACACAGCTTTCATGCAGTTAATACAGTTCATGATGTTTTGGAGCAAACTGCTTAAACCACATTTGGTTGTCTATTTTCGCACTACAAAATAATGAAGCTAAACTTCAGGACTTTTAAAATCCTTTTTATTACTTTATCCCTTTAAATCTCTAACTTGTCATTATCACTCACTTCTACTATCCAAAAACCATCCTTTCTAAAAAGTAAAAAAGGATTACTGAAAAAGTATTAATATTTTTATAGGGCTATGTGCCACTCTTTTAAGTGACACACACTTTATTTAATCCCTACAACCCCATAAAGGAGCTACTGTTATCCTCATTTACAGAAGAAACGAGAGGCAAACGAGTATAAATAGCTTACTCCAAGGTCACAAAGTCAGTAAATGACTCAGAGTATTCTGAACCCTAACATGGGACTCCAAGAGTCCATGCTCATAACCGCCATACTAAACTGCTTCTCTATAACCTATCTTTTTGCCCATCAATCCAGAAGAAACCTTGATCCATGCAATACTAAGCACTGTAAAACCCAAAACCAAGATGTGTTCATTTTTCTAGGATCAATCTCCGCCACTACCATGTCCAAAATTATTTTTTTTGTTTTTGAACACTTATTGTCCATCCCATAGAACTTACAATGTTATGTATTTTTATAATACATTCTTTTTGTTTTTAAGTAATCTCTACACCCAATGTAGAGCTTGAACTTACAACCCGAGATCAACAGTTGCATGCTCTACTAACTGAATCAGCCAGGAACCCCTATGAGACATTCTTTAAGCATCTTTTGTACATCTATACTTGTCTTTCTCTGAAACATAAACCGTGTCAAACTTCTTTTCTATTCCATCCACAGCATGGCAAACACCACGGAGAATTTTCCTAAGAAATTCTAATTGTTATTAGTAACTTAAGATGCTCCCCTACGCCCTATAGTAAAAGAATGCGGTAAAACACTAGTAGTTCCTCATTTATAAGAAAGCACAATCAAGACTCTCTATACATTTTTTTGTACTACCACCAGGAAACTCTTCTAAAGGAAAAATTTCCAAATTTGGCCATGTATCAGAATCACCTGGAACATCCTTCTAAAATTAGATGCTGGGCCCTGTTCCAGACATTCTGAATCAGAGCTGTGTGGTATGTGTAGAGGTGGAAAGCATTCAAGTAGTACACATCTAAAACTCCTTAAGCGATTGTCAGTCTAAGAGTTGGATTTGTAAATTTCTACTCTAAAGTGGGGGATGCATATAACTCATATTTACCTCAGCAGGGTTGAGTAAAGTAAGCCCCTTATTAAATACTGAATTCTCATTAACTATGTCCTTCAAGTATACTCTATAACCCTCCACCAACCCTAACATCGTATCTGCAAGTAACGCTACCCATTTCTTATTTATCCACACCCAAATATAAGGTTCTGAATACTTATAAATGTGTATTTAATTAGGTTATTTTTCACTGCTGGAGAATCTTTTCTATGTTATATGTAACCATTATATGATGAAACCTATAATCTTAGACTAGAAATTGGCATTTTTCTGTATAGCAATTATAGGAACATGTGAATTAATGTCTTATTTAACTAAGAGGGCCTTTGTATAAATTGAGGTTGGTTATCTATTTATGTATTTGGTTTTTTTAAACTGTTGTGTGTGTGTTTTAAAGATTTTATTTATTCATTTGAGAGGGAGCACAAGTGGGGTCAGGGATAGGGAGAAGCAGGCTCCCTGCTGAGCAGGAAGCCCCACATGGGGTTCAATCCCAGGACCCCAGGAACACCACCTGAGCCAAAGGCAGATGACCAACTGACTGAACCACCCAGGCGCCCCTACCTATTTTTTAAGTAAGCTCTATGCCCAATGTGGGGCTTGAACTCACTGCCTGGAGATCAAGATTCACATGCTCTACTGACTGAGCCAGCCACGCACCCCTAGAAATTGAGGTTTAAAGCATACTCACACCAATCTTTTCTTCTATAAGTTGCCGCGCATAGTCTATTTGCTGTGGAGTGCCACGGATTGTAAATAATTTCATATTAGGATCTGCATTAGGTGGAGGATTTCTCTGAAGTTCTATTCTTGCACCAGACTGCTGGCTTATGCTTTTTATGGTTTCACCTCCTAAAATCAAAACACATTAATTTCTCTAAAGATTCAAAGGATACAAAAGCAACTATCCAAAAGAAAATGGTCACAAAAGGGCCATTAAAAAAAAAAGTTTTGAGCAGTATCCCATCTGCCCATATTTTTTGGGGATTTCCCATTTATTTTACACTTTAAATCAAGTTATATAAAGCATTCATACTTCTCCTAAAACACATTTAAGTTTTAAGACATAAATCAGTATACCTACACCCAACCTTAAAATGAATTATAACAAAAAAAACTATAACTTAAAATATCTGGCTCAAATAAATTGCTTTTACAAGTAACATAAACTAACACACTTACAAAAAAATTCTAAATTTTAATAAGATATGAGTCAGGAAAAATTTCTTACACTAATAATTAAAACTGTTGGTCCCCTCTCTAGAAGCCAATGTGATTCAAATCCCACTTTTATTTTATATATAAGGCCCTTCATTTATGTTTTTGTTAGAAATCAACATAAGATACAGCAAAGGAAAAATCACTGCTACTGGTTTACAACAGAAAAAGCATATAGAAAAATCCGGCCATGTGTTAAATTTTTACCCACACATCAAAACATTAATAAGAGTTTAAAATACATTGCCTTTTCCTATTATTAATCCAGTTTTCCCAGTTGGTACAATGAAATTAAATTCCTGTAGTCCACCAGGTGGTCCCATGTTCCAGTTGCCTTGACCTCTACCTCTTCCTCGACCACCAGGTCCAGGTCCACCAGGATTACCAGCCTAAAAAAGAGGAAGAAGGAAAGTCAGCATAGAATCATACTCTTCTTTCCATGATAAAGTCATCACGTGTCTATCTTCCTCAACCTTCATTTTCCTATACCAGAAATTCAAGAAGCTGGGAGATGACGTGGCCCAAATAGTCAACAATACCCACCATTTATTCTTTTTATACTGGGATGAATAAGACAATACACGTAGCTACCTTCCCTACCTTCCCACTCCAAGATGTCTACCTCAAAGCAACTTAAACTTTCCAGTTATTAACAAAGTATCATCAGACAGATTCTGATATAAATAAAACTAAAGGGGAGGGGGGACCCTTTCAGACTTGAAGGAAAACATTTTTTAAATAAAAATGAAACAATGAAAATATTAACATCTGTCAAACCTGAACACTTCGAAGAAGGTCTGTAATAATTTCTGCAGCATGTTGACATCGGTCTGGAGGTCCCGTTATTTGCGCTATTCTATCAGGTGTTGTTCCATCATCTTCAAAACCAAGAAACAAATTGGACTGAGTTAGCAACAAATGTGTGTAAAAAAGTTAACTGCTACTAATACATAGATAATGAAATATATGTACTCACCTGGTTTAAACTGAATTCGAACACCAGCATCATTTTGTATTTTTTTTATCATCTCTCCATTTCTTCCTATTACAATGCCAACAGCAAATCTTGGAATGGGGACCTTATACAAAGATGACTAGGTATTAAGGAAAGTAATTTCCTGAAAATTAATCCACCTCAAATCATAAAAGTATATACAGTATTATGATTGCATCAAATAGGGTAACAAGATATACATTCTGCACTCTAAGGCATAAATTATGGGGGGGGAAGGGGGACGGTTGGCAGGGGGGAGGGAATCCACATATATTTATCAGTTAGTATACAACCATTTCTGAATGGGTATTTTTACTTACGTCTATCCCTTCATTTCCTCCTATTCTTGACCCATACTCATTTCGAACTTCTCTGAAACCACCTTGATCACGAATTAACTCTAACACCATTTCCTTGGCTTGCTGAAGTACAAAAACACAAAACAACACCCAACTTACAAAGCATGTCTCAAAACACTAATTATTCATATGTGTTTTGCCCATTCTGCCCCCAAATCCTTCTATGTAAGATATAAACTTAAGTTTACCTGAACTTTGTATGGGTCTCCTGTAATCCTAAGAGGTTTGTCAGCACCAGTGTTCTGAGGTCCATCTTGAATCATAACCATTTTAACTCCAGCCCGCTCCTATTAATCAAAGAAATTATATGTTTAACAAAAGGGGAGTGGAAGGAAATTGGCTTCAAAACAGATGAAAAGTAATTTTACAAAGTAATACCTGAAGTTGTTTAATAGTTTCTCCCCCCTTTCCAATAACTAATCCTGCTTTGCTAGCTGGAATCATGATTTCTTGAACTGCATTTCCTGGTCCATCACCATGGTGGAAGCCAGGGGCTGGTCTTCCTTTTTCAACAATCTGGTCCAATAACCGTTTTGCTGATCTGTTAACAAATTAGGAGTCAAACAATAAGTTATAGCATACTCAAAAGGTTATTCAAATAGAGAAATAAAAAATAACTTAAGCAGGTACTTCTCCCATCCCAATTCAGGTTTAGGTGGCTTAAAGCTAATTTAACAATTTTAATTAAGAGAAAATGCCATCAAGAACAAAGAATGAAACTATACAATAAATTTTCTAGGTATGTAATTTGCAGTATTTTTGAGGATAGTCCTAAATTTCCAAGAAGTAGCACTCTACTTTTTTTCCCCACTCTACTTCTAAAGTTATCTCAGAATTAAACTATTTTGCCAATTAACTAAATGATGTATTTCCAATTTTAAGACATCACTTTGGTCACTCACACATTAAAATTTATTTATCCATTCAAAAATACTTAAGAAATGTTAAGTACATACCAGGTACTATTCTAAGTAATAGAGTTACAACACTGAATGAAACATACAGGGTTCCTGCTGGTTTAGCTCACCTTAAGTAACTAAAAACAACATGTTTGGTTAAGTGCTATAAACAAAATCAAAACAGGGTAAGAAGGACAGAATGTGTGTGCATAAAGGTATGCTATTTTATGCAAAGCAGACATAAAAGACTTTACTGATAAGGAGACATTCTGACAAAAATGTAAAGGAAGAAGGAAAGTAACTATGAAAATATCAGAGGGAAAATGTTCCAGAGAGAATTAAGAGAAATTGCAAAGGACTCAGATGAGAAGCATACTTGGTGTGCTGAAAGAATAGAAGCTAAATGGGGTTTGAACAGAGTTGGAAGAAGAATGGTAAAAAACGAAGTGAGAAAGGTGGCAGATAAATCAGGCCATGATAAAGATGCTGACTTTTACTCGAAGTGGTGAAGCATTAGATGATTTGAGCAAAGTAATGATATGAACCGATTCACATTTTAAAAAGATCGTATGTCTATACTACTAAGAATAGACTATTGCTGAACAAGGCTAAAAAGAATGGAAACATGTTGAAATATAAAAAATGGTCATAGACAAGGTGATAGTATAGAGGGTGGCAAGAAGAGACTGGATTCCAAATAAATTATGAAAAAAAAAGACCAAAGAGTTGCTTATGGATAAATGAAGGACAAGAAAAAGATAAATGTACTTTTAAAAAGATTTATTTTAGAGTGAGTGCCCATGTGCAGGGATGGGGGTGGGGAAATGGCAGAGGAAGAGGAAGAGTCTCAAGCAGACTCTGTGCTGAGTGCGGAGCCCGACCTCACGACCCTGAGATCAAGACCTGAGCTGAAACCAAGAGTCGGGCGCTTAACTGTGCAACCAGGTGAGGTGCCCCCTCAAAAAGATACTAAGTCAGCAGCTTGACAGGAATCTAGAATTTAGAAAGAGAGCAAGGCTGAAAATAAAAATTTAGGAGTACATAAAATTTATAATATGTAAAGCGATATATTAAAGTTTATAGGGGCGCCTGGGTGGCTCAGTCGTTAAGCATCTGCCTTTGGCTCAGGTCATGATCCCAGGGTCTGGGGATCGAGGCCACATCCAGCTCCCTGCTCAACAGGAAGCCTGCTTCTCCCTCTCCCATTCCCCCTGCCTGTGTGTTCCCTCTCTTGCTGTCGCTCTGTCAAATATATAAAATCTAAAAAAAAAAAAAAAGTTTATAAAAGAGTAAATAAAGTCATCTAAAGAGTACATGTAGACAGACAATAGGAGGACTGAATTTTGTGGCACTTTCATACTGAAAGGCCAGGAAGATAAAGTTGGACAACCAAGAATGCCTGAGAAAGAGGAGCTAGGGAGGGGATATCTCTAGGAAAGTAGTTCACTGTGTCAAACAATGTTGATAGGTGGAATGATGCAGAGGCCATTTGTGATCTTGAAAAGAACAATTTTAATGGAACCACGGGAATTAAAGTCTGATTCATACAAGTTCAAGACAAAATGAAAATAGATGCAAATGATATGGCAAAGAGAACTACCCCTTTTAAGGAGTTTTATTGTGTAAGTAGGCAGAGAAATAAAAATGTGAGGTTCAAGAACAGGTTTTATTTTGATGGGAGGGATTTTCAATCATCTTTATACCTTGTTAGAAATTACCTAGAAAATGGGAAAACTAATAGTGCAGGAGAGTATCAGTTCTATTTAGGGGCAATGTCCTTCTTCAGCAGGAAAGAGGGGCTAGCCTCAGGCATATGATTTCATACTTACTGGACAGATTCAGGTGTTCCCGTTAGCATACAAGATCTTTCTGGAAGGCCACCACTGTCTACAATTAAAAAACACCAAAAATATTTTAGGCCAAGAAAAGATTACAACATCATTTTTAGTATTTACTTAAAAAAAATATCCTAGTTTTCCAGTCACTCTGAAAATAGCAAGAGAATGTTACCAGGAGCTATCTGTATTTTGCATCCAGATTCTTGTTGTATGCGTGAGATCTGTTCACCACCTCTGCCAATTACTAGTAAAGAAAAAAGAAAAAAAATTATTTGCTAAAAGACTGTAAAGTATGTTTTGATTGTTTTCAAAGCTTTAAAAATTAGGCTACTTACTAAATCCAACCATTCCATCTGGAACTTTGTATTCTTCTGTCATTACAGACCTGCTAACAAAAGACAAAAACTAACGTTTTCCTTCAAAGAAAGAGAATTTGTTTACATATAAAAGGTAATCTAATAAAAATGGACATCTAATGGCTTAAACTAGGTTTTCAGGCACATATTCATAGTCAAAATACAGCTTGAGTAGTTCAAGTCAGAATCTTAAGGTGAGACATCAAGTGACGAGGGTATGGTAGATGAACAGTCTGAAGGCATGAACTGCAAAGGAGTTGGGGTGGAGTTCAGGGAATGTTTTTTTAACAATTATTTTCATTCACTTTAGTTCTTCTAATATGTGGCTAATTCTTCCCATCCTTCCAAATTACAAATGCATCTCACTCAAAAGGAAAAATGATCATTCTGTATCAACTTAAGTGGAGAGAAATGAATATACAAAAAAAAATACAGACACATATTCACTATACGCTAACTTCGTTGTGTTTTTACAGACCGTTGAACTAAATCTTGCAAAGTACTCTTTGAAAAGCATTTCACTATACCTTTGCTGCTGATGCATCGGTGGTAACTGTGTTCCAAAAGCTACCAAAAAATCAAATAAAATGAAAACTTTTAAGTTCACACATATTTAATAATACAATCCTATCAAGCAATACTTTTTCCCATACACATAGAGAACACCACCTTTGAGAGTAAAATTGTATGCAAAATACTTAAACAAACATTGACAATGGGTAAGAAAGTCGGTGAAATAGCAGGTATTTTTAGCAATGACACAGAAACTGTTCTTTCTCAAAGGGCACAAGCTTAGGTTAAAAAATGGAGTTATAAAATAAATTGAATATGAAAATAATTTAGCAATCAAATCTTATTACTATATACCTGGCCATAATTGAAGTGGGAGATTATGAAGACAGGAAGTAATATTTACAAAGACATTCATTCTAAAATATTCATGGCCATCAACTAACTCCAAAGACACCCAACAAAATCCAGGCAGAAAACCCTGATACTAAAATCCAGTTACTGGGCGCCTGGGTGGCTCGGTTAAGCGACTGCCTTCGGCTCAGGTCATGATCCTGGAGTCCCGGGATCGAGTCCCACATCGGGCTCCCTGCTCAGCGGGGAGTCTGCTTCTCCCTCTGACCCTCTTCCCTCTCGTGCTCTCTCTCAAATAAATAAATAAAATCTTTTAAAATAAAATCCAGTTACTTTAGCTTTTAACCCAATTTAAAATACTTACAGTCATTTTGAGGAGCAACTTTCTTAGCATCTGGTTGATCTGCAAAATTAAGAGCCTTTTAACTTTTTGCCAATAAATACAAATATAAGACTTAGCTAACCAGTGCCCAAGCAAGAATAAATATCAATGTAAACACTTAATTGAAATAGCTGAGGATAACTGTTGATCATTTGAACCAAAAGTGCCAAAACTTATCCCAAACTCTTAGTAATCAAAAGAAACATTACATTTCTTTCATTCTTTTCATGTTTAAAAGATGCACAGACATTTAAAAAAAATTCTTTTTGATTGTATCAAATCACTGACCTTAATGTATGTTAAGCACTTTAGAATGATACAAGACAAAGTATTTAGGTCCATTACTAGCAAAATATCACATGCTAAAGGCTAATGATGCTTCCCACTGTAGGAACTGAAGACTGGAAGAAAAACAGAACCTATCAAAATGTGAAAATTTGACATATCAAAGTTGAGTGTATCTGACAGTGACCACAAGGCTATGCAAAATAAATAAATAAAAAAATCACATTACAAGGCAATCTCAATCTAAACTATTCTATTGTTCCTAACCAAACATTTCACGGCATACGCTTCAGCAGAAAAACTCAAAGCAACTACATGACTACCTTCATCTACATCCTTTACACAGATGAATACAATGCATACCTTAGAATAGACAACCTACATCTGAAAAGTACTACATTTTCCTCCCCCCTTCAAACTTAAATGATTAAACATCAGAATGTTGTGCAGCAAAAATTCAGACACATAATCCAAGAATTATTTGTGTCCATTTAAGAATCCACTGGTTTATTTCACGTTTACATACTAAACACAGGTAATAAATAAAAATTCCTGCCTTTAAAAGGAGAGGGCATTCCCTCCCAGTGTGTTGTACTGCTCGGACTTGTCCAAGAGCCATCTACACATAAAATAAAAAGAATACATTACATACAACATCTGAAGCATCATTAGCTCATTTTTTTGTATATTAAAACCTCACTATAAATGTGAAAGACACTTAAATAAAAGGAAACCAAGTACACCTGGTCAAAAGCTACAAATACATTCTATAGGCTCATTCAGAATCCTCCTTAAAAAAAAAATTAAGTAAATAAAAGGGCAAAAAGAAAATGTATCAAAGTTCATACATCTAAAACAAAAAAAAAACTTGCAGACTTCTAAGTTCAGAAGCTTCAACAATTACGTTTTTTTAAAAAATACAAAGCACTGTAAATCTGTTTTAAGCCACATTTTGAGTTAAACCTGAAACACAAAACAAGGTACTAAAACAAAAAAAGTAACATAAAAAAAGGTATAACCTGCAACACACTACAGTAGCAAGCTATAGCAACATCAACCTTTAAAGTCAAATCTGAAATAGCAAAACAATGAAAACATAGCATATAAAGATTAATTCACGTATGATGAGAAAAACCAGTGAAATGTCTTCTAAACATTTTATATTTTTGTTCTTTTCAGTATATTAACAAGATGTCTGTGCAAACTGTCAATCTGGCACAATCCTCAAAGAGAGAAAATGTTGTTTTCTACTAAGACAAAACTGGCTGATTGACTCAAAATTTTACCTACCTTGTCTAAGGTCTCCCCCCCCCTTTCCTCCTGAGGCCAATATAAACCTTACAATTTTAAGAACCTTATTATAAAAGTAATGTTTTAATAAAAGAACATTTGAAAAATATTGAAAATCACCTTCAACTAACCTGTGTATAAAACAATTAAAATACTTATGACTATAACTTACCTCCATCTTCCAAAGGTCTTTTTTGTCCCCCATAACCATAGTCATTTGAATTCAGTGATGTACCAGCATCACCTCCAATTTTTGCTGCAATCTTAAAAAACAAAAGCACACCATCATTAAGGATAACATATCTACTATACACTATTCAGTGCTGTATTTCCTCATACATACAAATGGTAAATATCTAATACAAAAAAATTCATTTCAAAGAAAAACAAAAATTACAGATCAATGTATCACTACCAGTAATAACTTCAAAGAGTTAAAACATAATCAGCTGGAATTAAGCTTCTGATAAATCTCTGTAAGAACAAACGAAGAAGTAATCAGGAATCTTCAGAATCAACTGACCAACAAATAAATAGCTTTGGGGAAAATGTGGTCCTAATTCTATCTTCTCCATGGCTCTTTCCCATGACTCTTCAAAAAATGTGTTGTAGGCACAGAGAATGTGAACACCTTATGGGATTCTAAGACTGTGTTGTCTAATAAGGTAGATGCTAGCCACACATGGTTACCTGGCTAGCCCAAATGAAGTGTTAAATACACAAATGGATACTGAAAACTTGAATCAAATATAAAGAGTAGAAAGCATCTGTTTTTGTTTTTTTTTTTATATTGCACACATGTCAAAATGGTAACGTTTTGGGTATGCTGCATTAAATAAAATATATGATTTGTATCATATTTCTATCAGACAATCCTGTTCTACAGGAACATGGGGGTGGGAGAAGTCTGGGAGGCTGTACCTCTAAGCAAAGTCTCAGCTACAGATTCTTAGACTTTTTTAGAGTGGGGCAAATAATTGCTTGCACTTAACTAAACATCATATAAAAAAATAGCAGCCTCAAGTCACAAGGCAGGACACAACCAGTGGGTATTTACTCCATTTTTCTATGGAAAGAAATATGGAACTAATATTGCTGAGTGCGAGCAATAGGCCAAACTCCACACTATATGTTTTATACTCATTTTGTCACTCAATCATCAAACAACCCTAAGAGGTGAGAATACTTCGTGAGATAATGATCCATTTTACAGCAGAAAAAATCTCAAGAGGGAACTTAACCAGGTTACATGGTAAGTCAATGGTGGAGATGTCCCAATTTCTACATAGCTCCATGCTAATTACTCTGAAGGGGTAATCACCAAAGGTGAATGATACGCTCATTGGAGGTTCATCAGATTATTGTTAATTTTGAGTATGTTTGAAATTTTCCATGTTAAAAAATTACACAGAAAATTCGAACTTCTGTTGCCTAGAATTCCCCCAAAGGGATCCTGATGTGGAACTAAACCAACTGCTTCATGCTTCATTATAATTAGAAAACTGGAAAGGATAAGTATATTCAACGACTTGAGTCTTAAAATCCACTTACATATCACTTAAAATTGAATATGTATCAGTTCCCAACTGTACCTCCCAGGGTTTCCAGATTTCCCTTTTCCTCACAAAGCATATCAGGATTAACTATTAAAATGCTTGATTTAAAAAAGGCTTTGGGGGCACCTGGCTGCCTCAAAGAGCATGCAACTCTTGACCTCAGGGTCCACATCGGGTGTAGAGATTACTTGAAAAAAAAAAAAAGGCTCAATCTAACCTTCCTTAATCATCCTTTCACTTTCTCAAAAGCCTATTCCATGTCTTTGAGCAATTAATTAAAATCTTATTTCTTTTCTGAAAGAAATACCTGAAAACAACTGCTTTTCCACCCTTAAGTTTTAAAGGCTTAACATCTGAATTGTTCCTTAGAACTTAAATACACTGCCTGGCACTGATTTTAGAGAAGAAAGCCAGACAGGATAGTAACTACTGATGATCTTAAGCTGTGAATACCTTCTGCAGTTAGCTTTTATAAATGCTGCATGAGTTTGCACAACACCACTCCCTGAACTCCCAAGGAACTTCCGCATATAGAAAGGATACTTATTTATACCTCCCTATTATCCATTATTCATTGAATAGTTCTAAAACTATCCAAATGAAAATGAAAGCTTCATTCAAAAGAATTAGTAACACCATTTTAAAAATTCAGAAAGAGTACAAAGACATTAAGAAGCGCTCTTAGTAAAAATACTAACAACCATTTTTTTTAACACTGTGCCCTCCTACAACAGAGGAATTTTTTATCATAATCAAGCTTTGCTATCCTGTCACAAAATGTAGAAACAAACAAAAAAAAGCAAAAACAAAAACAAAGACCCAAAAACCCTACTCAAGTGTGCGTTTTCAGCAGAAATTATTGGTAACTGAAAAGTCAACAATTCTATTTTATAAAATTTTCATTGCATTCAAACATAATGCAGCCTGAATCACTTTAATCAAGGAAGAGATTTCAAGAATAACTGAGTACTTAAAGACTAATAGCTGTTTAGAAGCTAAAGAATCAGGGCTGATACTCTTGCTTCATTTGTGTTCTACCAATCATGGAGTCCCAGCCTGATTCACTTCTATCTTCGTAACGTCAAGGAAAAAAAAGGTAGAGAGATACATTTTGCTTTTCCAGTATTTCAGAGACAAAACTGGTTTAGTGTGATCACCAAAGTCCTAACCAAAGAATCCCAACCCCACCCTTTAGAGTTACAGCTTGAAATACACAAATATAAATCTCTCAAGTGGTTCCTAAACTAGAGAAGCAATCTGGTGCCCCTGTGCTGAATTTAGCTCAGAGGGTATTTAAAAATTTGGAAATTTCACATTAAAAAATAAGCCATTGGAATTCTCTGGAAAAATGATTGAGCAACTTGGTCTAAATTACCAGATGGCAAAATGAGCTAGGTAGTAATCATTTGTCCTGCATTAACAAAGAACCGTCCAGTTAAAAAAGCCAATAGCATCCCCGTTACTACACAGCTCTCTGAGGGCAAGAAGCTGTTCTTATACCTCCTCCTTCCAAGAACACAGCATAATACACTGGACAAAGAAAAGAAACTTAAAGTTAGACGGGGATTTTGGAAATATAATCCAGCATGCTTTTAATATAGATAAGGAAAAAGTAGTTCAGACATTAACCTAACTTGTTTCGTCAGTCCAAGTACTCCTCTCTGTATTCCATTTATATATATCAGACAAGCAGCTACAACTGACATATGGAGGCATCTTCAAATGTAATCAGAAAGGGAAATTCAACTCAAAAGCTAAATTTAGGAATCTCAGGCTTAAGATCAATTCTGTAAAGAAACAATCAAATTATTACAGCAAGACATCTATAAAAATCGTATCATTACAGCAAGAGCATTGAGGCAGCTGACCTATTGGCATAAAAAGTGAGTACAAGAAATCCAGTTTGAGGACAATTTCTGTATTTAAAAATTAAGCCATCTAACATAATTAGGAAATTACAGCTTAGCCAAATAATGAAGTCCAATTTTTAATTAAAGCATGGCAACATGAAGTCTTTCAGAAGTTGTATCCATCTGTACTCACCTCAATTTCCACCCTCTTTCCCCCAACCATCATTATCCTCCAGTGACTTCATTCCTGGGTTCCTGTCATTCCAAAAACCCTCATACCTTTGCACATGCTTCTTTTCTCCACTGATCAAACTTTCACTCATTCTTTAATGCCTTGCTTAAAATATCAGTCCTTTGGCAGTTAGGCACCCCACTCTTTGGTGTTGTGTACAGTGCCTGACTCACAGCAGGAACTCTATAAATGTTTACAGAACACGTGGATAAATTAACGGTGCCCATTTTTGTCTACTCCTCTCTGAAAGTATTAATCAGATACTACTATTCATTTGCATTTGGTTCCTTGATTGTATCCTCACTTCCTAGGGCAGAAATACAATTCACACATTAAAAAAAAAAATCTCTAATATCTAAGTACAATGTGCAGCACAAATTAATTTCAATACATTGGTCGAATAAAATAATTCAGGTGAGTCTTTCAACCAATCTAATAATAACCAACAATTTATGTCATTATATATGTTTCAGTCGCTATTCCAAAAATGTGAAAAAGCTGCACAATTAGTATTAATGGTGACTTTTTTGTTGACTTTCTGATCATACACAAGTATAGGTAAGTTTAATTATGTGTTCACATTATAAAAATAAACGATTTGTTACATTATTACAGAGTTTACGCAGTTTGACTCAAACGATGCTTTAATGGAACTGGAGGGTGAAAAAGGTTAACAACGTTAACTCCTAACGCAAACAAAACATACCACAAAATCAGTTTCTGATTCCCGTTCGCTTAACGCTGTAATCTAAAAATGTCTAGCACCTAATATGAAAAATGTCGTAAGGAGAATAAAATTATTTTGCTTACATATAACTCCATACCTTTTAAGTTATAGTTACGTTAAGGGACCATCTAATAAAGTTCAAATTAAGTAGCCTTTAAATTTCCTGGAGTAATTTTTTTCTTTTTAAACAGCTTTCGTTTGGAAAAGAACTGCCTTCAAGGCAAATGTACGCACCTACGTAATACAAAGAGGTCTGGTCAGTTTACGACTCTGAACAGAGAGGCAGATTCAAATTGAAACTTCGGGTGTAATAGGCCTGAAGCCATTTTGAGAAATAAGGGGAAAGGACTGGTAACACACTGACACATAAATCCTGCTCTGAGGAAGGATTCCAACACGGGATACTAGTGCTCTTAAGTCTCTTCCTTGTAGATAATGAAAGTGAATGATACCGAAAGATTAATTTCGACAGAGCTCGAATGAGCTGGAAACTGTAAAGACTGCTTTACTGACATATCCCTCCCTTACTATGGCTCCTGAGGACAGACCCTAGTCCTCTCCCAAACTCATTACCAGAACCTTCCATACTATTGTGTAAAAACTACGCGCGCTTTATCCCATGGAGGAGAATGTTCACTCTGAAAAAAAGAAAATGCCAAGCTAACTCCTCAGAGAAAGAAGCGCGACTGCCGCAGAAGCTAAAGACCTAAAGCCATCTATGCGTAACACCCGTTGGGGTTCTAAGTGGCTTAGACACCAAGATACACAAAACCGAGCTCCAGCCTCCAAACTGTATCACCAACGTGGGGAACCATAAGTCTCCTCACATTTCAGAGCCCGGAAGGGCACTTCTTTCCTCTTCCTCATGAGCGAAGAAGTAGCGGCCTACACAGCCAGCGGCCAATTACCATGAGCGTTCGGGATCCCGCCGCGCGGTCCAGACTTACCTGCCGTGCTCTCTGCAGCGCATCTTTGAAAGCATCGTTAACTCCTCCACCACCACCGCCGCCGCCTCCACCACCAGCTGAACCAGAAGAAGGTGGAGGCACTGTTGAGTAGTCTGCCATGTCTACGCTATAGTGGCCGCTGCCGCTTCTTCGCAGAGACCTTCCCTCAGCCAACTGCTAAGAAAGAAAGAAAATGGCGGCCGTCGAGCCTGTATCACATTCTTGTGCGACCATCGTGCCGTAAAGGGGCGGAGATTGAAAGGAGAAAATCTCGCGGTGTTTTGAAGCAACGAACTGGTGTGGGGGTGGAGCTAAAAAACAAGGAGAAGCAGAAGGATGTCGCGAGACTTGTGTTTAAGATATCGCGAGAGTGGGATTTATTTTGGCGCCTCCTCTATGCGCATTCTCTTGTTGAAGCCGTGTTGCTTGTACTTCCGGGGTGGTGGGTGATACTGGCGCGATGACCCCGGTTGGCGTGCGTTTCTTAAGACCTGAAGAAAGAGTAGTTGTTTTTTATTGGTTGCAGACTCGGGAAGGGACTGTGGGTGAATTTTGCGCCAAGGGTCATTCTGTGTATCCATGGGAAAGGGAGTCACGTTGACAGGCGTAAGGGCGACGCTACCGTATCTCGAGAGCGCTGCAACCAGGAGTGTGCCTGGTAGAAGCGCGCCCGGGACGCCAAGCGGAGATGTTTCCGAAAACGTCCGCCCGGCCTGGCGGGATCTCGTCCTGATTTTCAGGGTAGTAAAGTGTCCCTGTATTTTACTTATAGATTGGCAGGTCTGTTTTATCACAAGTGGGGTGAATTCGGGCTAGAGGCCTTTTAGTTCTCGAGCTGATTTCGGTATTTTTGTGTAATGTGGATGAGGCTGTGAAATCACGACTGCCCTTTGCCTCTTAAAAACGTGATTGTTCGTAAAATTCCGTTGTAACTACACTTAATAACCTGACACTGTATGTGTCCAGGGCCAGTTTTATTGAGGTCATCTTATAATTAACAAAAACATCTATCTTTTGACCAAAATTGACTTTGTGGCTTCCTTAAAGTAGTTTACCCCAGCCCCTGCCTATGAGAACCCAAATGTAATGTTCTGAATTGTCATCCCGGGACTGGATAACTTTTTAAGTGTGTGTATTTTCTGTTATCTAAATGAACATTACCAGTTTTGGCATTTTATGTTTTGTGAATTAGGTCTAAAAAAGTACTTTTCCCATTGCTAGTTTTAAGAGTAATTGGAAGAGATGTGTGTTGCGGTCTTCCTGATAACTACAATTAATGTGTCCGCTTGTTCAGGGCCCTAAGTAAGTCAGGTAACTAGACAGATACATGCATATAGCTACAAGTGGGCGGTCATTTTCCTCCAATGAAGCTTTTCCTATCGTCTTAACCATTAATAGCTCTGATTATCTTCAGTGTTCTTACCTATCCCTTTACATTTGGAGGGGTGAGGATTTGTATTTGGAAAAGCAGCAAATGTATTGGACTACAGATTTAAGTATAACTGGAAAAAAAAAGACAAAGCATTTTTGGGGGTATTGCTAAACAAAATTTTTTCAGTTCTGTTTTGAGAAAGTTTGTCCAACATGACATTTATTAATTAATGGATTTTTTCGTATTTTATTAATTGGACATATACCAGTCCTTCTGATCAACGTAATGTTAACCACAGAGTGATATAATATACCTCCAAACAAACTTTATTTCTATTTTCGTTGTGTCTAAATATTCAAAGTAAGGCCCTTCATCTGTAGTTTATTTGTAGACTCTCCTGGAACCAGGGTGGGAACCAGTTGGAATCAGTTTAGATCAGGATTTCTTAACTCCAGCACTGTTGACACTGTTTGAAATACCACTGTGTACTATATGTTAGCAGCATCCTTAGCCTCTATGCATACATAGATGCTAGTAACATAACACCCCCCCACCCCCCCCCCACCCACACACTCAATTGTCACAGCCAAAAATATCTCCAGACATTGCCGATGTCCCCTGGTAGGCAAAATCCCACATTGAGAACCACTGGTCAGCCTTCATTCCTGCTCCTTCCTCTCCATTGGGAGGACCTATTTACCATACTTTTGTGGTATATTCCAAATTCTATTAATTTTCATTTCTACTACTCCCAAGTTACCATCACCTCAGTCCTGGACTGCAATAGTATTCTACTTGGTTTTTGTGCTTCCACCTTTAAATCTCTGCAATTTGCTTTTTAAAATTATGAAATTATAGGGCACCTGGGTGGCTCAGTTTGTTAAGCGACTGCCTTCGGCTCAGGTCATGATCCCAGAGTCCTGGGATCGAGTCCCACATCGGGCTCCCTGCTCTGCAGAAGCCTGCTTCTCCCTCGGCTTGTGTTCCCTCTCTTGCTGTCTCTCTCTCTCTCTCTATCAAATAAATAAAATCTAAAAAAAAAATTATGAAATTATAAAAATATGTAATATACATGTAAGTTCTCAAAAGTAACAAGGATCCATTACCAGTACTTTTGAAGGTCAAGCCTCTACCTGATTATATTACAGTTGTTTCTTCATATAGCAGCTTGAATGATTTCTTTTAAAACAAATCAGATCATCTCATCTTTGTCTTCCTATTATATTTTTTTTCAGATTTATTTCAGAGAGCATGCATGGTGAGGGTGGGCAGAAGGGTAGAAGGAGAGGAAGAAGGAGAGAAGAAGACTCCCCACTGAGTGGGGAACCTGACACTGGGCTCCATCTCACAACCCTGAGATCATGACCTGAGCTGAAACAAAGCTGGACACTTAACTGACTGAGCCACCAAGGCGCCCCAAGTATTGCACTTTAAATCCTATCTCCTGGAGTGGTGTAAGGGCTCCATATGATCAGGCTACCATCTCTAAACACTCCTCCCTTTCATTCTTCACTCACCTTGCTGTCCAAGATACTTCCTGCCTTTGGGATTTTATATTTGTTTTTTCTTCTGTCTGGCCTGGATGCTTTTATAGACTTTCACTTGGATGATATGTCCTCATCATTCGAGGCTCAATTCAGATGTCACCTCCTTAGGCCATCTCTGACCTCTAGTTGTGCCATTCTGCAATCACTATCCCATTACCATTTTATAGCATTTATCTGAAATTACATTCTCTGTGTTTACTTGTTTATTGTCTCTTTTCCTTTAGAATTTAAACTGGAGAACAAGGACTGTCTGTCTACCATTGACCAGTCCCTAATGCCTAGTCAGCATTTTAGATATTTGTTCAAAGAATGCATATTGAAAAAAATCTGCCTCTACATTTTAGTTGGTTTTATGACCTTGGGCAAGTAACTTAGTCTCTGTGTCTCAGATTTCTCATCTACATTGATGATCATAACTTCCTTTACTGTCCTCAAATGAGATATTTGTGAGCTCTTCAGAAAGTGCTGTACAAATGGAAACTAGTAATAAACATGTAATTCAGCTTCTGGCATTTTATAATCAAGAAAGGATAATCCGTGTACATTTTTTAGATTGCAGTTATGTTCAAATCTTAGTTTTGGTAAACCCCAGGATCCTGCTAGAGCAACTGAATTGTGGGAAAACTAATCAGTGACTTTTGGTTAGGCTATGTGAGTAGGGGAGCGGCAGGCAGAGGGAGAAACAGGCTCCGCTGAGCAGAGAGGCCAACTTGGGACTCTATTCCAGGAGTCTGGGATCATGACCCGAGCCAAAGGCAGATGCTCAAAGGACTGAGCCACCTAGACAGCCAACATCAGGCTTTTCTTGACTAAATTTATTCCCTTTTGCAATGTAAATTTCTTAAAAGTGGATGTATCATAGCTAATAATCTAAAATTGGTTTATTATGCTTTGAGAGATTGGCTAAATATTTGCCTGGATTATATTTTATAGTCAGACTCTTACCACAGAAATTGGTATTTCATATTTTATCCTTAGGATGAAGCAAAAGTTGGTGTTTTTGAACTGCCAGAAGTATAGTAGGGAGCATTTAGATTTAGCAAATAACAGAGTGAAAAGATTAGCAAATGTAATAAAAGTTGGACTATTAAATGCACTGGCAAGTTTCTTCTTTTACCTTCTGACTTACTGGTTCCCAAATGACTATGTGATTTTTTTCTTAGCACAATTTTCATTTTGGATTTATTAAATCTGTGAGATAGTAACAGATTATTTTTAGCTGTTGGAGAAAAATAGTCCATTATGGATTTTTTAACAGGCTTTTTTTTTTTTAAGATTATTTATTTATTTATTTGACAGCGAGAGACACAGCGAGAGAGGGAACACAAGCAGTGGGAGAGGGAGAAGCAAGCTCCCCGCGGAGCAGGGAGCCCAATGCGGGGCTTGATCCCAGGACCCTGGGATCATGACCTGAGCTGAAGGCAGACACCTAACAACTTAGCCACCCAGGTGCCCACCCCTTTTTTTTTAAGATTTATTTTAGAGAGGGAGAGAGAGTCCCAGGCAGACTCTGCTGAGCTCAGAGCCTGACAAGGGGCTCCATCTCATGACCCTGAAATCATGACCTGAGCTGAAACCAAGAGTGGGATGCATAACTGACTGTGCCACCCAGGCTCCCCTTAACAGGCATTTTAGAGTGACAAAATTGGACAGGCTTCCTGCCTCAACTTTCTACCGATCACCTACCTCCTAACAACTCTTGGCCAGAAGGATCTGATAACTTCATGCTATATACTGTGTGTCATTTAAACCAGGCCAGTATTTCCTCAGTACACAGTAACAACAGATTCAGGTTAGATGTGAGAAGAATAGTGGCCACTTCAAATTAAATAGTCCAGGATATCATTAGGGTGTTTGATCATTAGGTTGGTTATTGGTTTAATGACTTTTATATCCCTCTTGACTGAGTTTTTAGAATTCTGTTTCAGACTAAGGTGTGAATGGAAGCAGTATATATTAGCATTTTTTTTAAAGATTTTATTTTTGTGAGAAAAATAAATTTATTTTAAGAGGGAGAGCATGTGAGTGCATGAGTTGGGGGGAAGGGGCAGAGGGAGAAGCTGACTCCCCACTGAGCAGGGAGCCTGATGTGTGACTTGATCCCAGGACCCTGGGATCATGACCTGAGCCAAAGGCAGATGACTGAGCCACCCAGGCACCCATATATTTTAGAGAACAAAGTTGTTAACACGAATTAGCTGGAGAACAACAGTTTGACCAGTGTCTGAAACTGGAGGCAGCCCCAGATAGTGGAAAGGACTCTGGACTAGGCCCAAGAGGATCTGTGTTCAAGTACAACCCATGTGCC